AATAAACGTAGAGGAAGCACTGCGGTGGCGTGAAGTGCTCTGAATCTCGAAAGGTGAAAAGGTGTCAGTTGATCAACATCTTCATCAGCAACATGGGGCACAAAATTTTGCAACCACCAGGAGCACCAGGAGCGCAAAATTGACCCACCAGGAGCTGAGTTCGGACCACTATCCGGTGGTGGCCGAAGTGGGCTCATCCGTCAACCGATTCCAAGCTTCCCGACGCAACTAACATAGTGTCAGCTGGGATCAGTTTCAACACTGTGTCGACTCCACTGTCGACTGCGGAGTCCTTTCGGAGACGCCCGAAGACGTTGACCGGTGTCTGCATTCCATCGAGGAGGAGATATCCCGGGCCAAGGAACAACACGTGCCAGTATCCAGACAGGTGAGCAATACTCTGAACCTTGACAGATCTACCAAAGATCTTAACACCATCCGAAGGCAGTACCAACGCTCTGGTCTGCCTGTCCTTAAGACCAACTGTAATCGCCTTACAAAAACCATCCAAGCCAGGATGGTGGACCTCAGAAACCAGGACTTTGCTAACAGGATCCGCTCTCTCCCAGATTATTCTTAAAAATAAGCCAAGACCTATTCCACCACTGACCCCACTGGATTGTTACGGCAACCCAGTGGTTCATCTGATAACCCCTGAAGAGAAGGCTGGTCAACACTTCGTCAGCTCCCATAATCTCGGACAAAACATCGTCAGCCCTCATGAATCTGAGGTTGCTGAAAATGCAACCAATCTTCATCAGATTCCTAACATTTTTCCAGAGGAATCCGAGATTACGGCTGAAGGCCCCAGGTTTCGACAACATCCTGAATCTGGAACTCAAACACTTGAGTACCAGATTCTACAACCATCTGGCACTGATTTTTAATCAGTGCCTCAGACTTGGCTACTTCCCCTCGTGTTGGAAGTCAGCTAAAGGCATACCCATCCGGAAACCTGGGAAGGATCCGTCCTCTCCTTCAAGTTATCGACCAATCAGCCTTCTCTCAGGGTTATCAAAACTGTTCGAAAAAGCAGTCTACCACCGGCTCCTAACATCTGCTGAACAAAACAACATCTTACTCGTTTGGTTTTCGGAAAGGTCGTTCGACCGTCCACCAGCTGACTCGAGTGACAAACATTCTCAGATGGAACAAATCTGTTTCGAAAACATCTGCCATGGCGTTGTTGGACGTTGAAAAAGCGTTCGACAATGCCTGGCATGATGGCCTGGCGTTCAAAATGCAGCAGTATGGTCTTCCAATCTTCCTAGTGAAGATAATAAACAACTACCTATCGGACAGGACATTCCGAGTCTCTCTGAATAGCATCACATCGGATGCTTTCAACATCAGTGCCGGGGTTCCACAAGCAAGCATCCTTGGCCCCATTCTATTCAACCTGTTCACCTCCGATATACCGGCTCTCCTTGATGGTGGATCGTTGTCTCTGTTCGCAGATGACACATCCATCGTCTACAAGGGTAGGGTCATCGGAGCTCTGACTGCCAAACTTCAGAGAGGCTTGGACGTCCTGTCTGAATATTTCAACAGCTGGAAGATCCGTAAAAAAAATCCCTCCCCTTGGCTAGTTTTTGCACCTTGCTGTTGATGGGCGGGCTTAATTTCATGCTTTATAGTGGAGTGTTGGAGACGGTAGGTTTATGGTCGGCGTTGCTGGCTCATGCCGCGATAGAATGGCGCCATGGGCAGGCAATGGGGATTACTAAGCTTCCCCTCTCTGATAAACCACTGCATGAGAGAACTAAAGATCTAGTCTAGCAGTGATAGTATCACACTTGTTACTCCTTTAATTGAGAGCCGCGTCGTAAAACGCTTACGTATAGGCACTGACGTTGGGTGTGATACTGGCGGGTTTTGCCGCAAATCACTCTTATTTTATTTATTTTTACGCAGATAGATTTATTTGGGTTTGCAAGGGAATTATACCATTGAAATATTTCAGAAAGTGCCCAACGGTGCTCCTTCTATTTGCGTGACAAGCTTTCATTGTTGTTTTCATTGAAGTATTACTCAGGAAACAATGTTAAACATCATTTTTGTACATGGTATTGTAACTAATCTTATATGTGCTTCATTTTGATTTGGGATAAGTGTTTGAACTATGGCTCGGGATTTCCACTGTGGCGTGCTTCTATTGTTATATACCCATACGTATTTTTGTAGTGCGACATAGTGGAAGCGTGTGAGTATAGTTGGAGCATATACCCTATATAATTTAAAAATCAGCTAGGAAACTAACTTCAAAATGAAGCATTTTAGTCACATGAAGGTGTTACCTGGGTCGAACTAAGATATAATAAATAGGTTTAGACTTAAATCAAAAGTACTTGAAACAAGTTTAATTTTAGATTACAAGCACAAGTGCAGGTACTTAATAGAGCATGGGTTATGATTGATTAGGTGAATTAGAGCTTTTAATAATTTATTAAATTAGACTAATGATATATCATAATCATCAAATGAACTTAAATAAGAAACTTCAGAAAGTCTAATGACATTAAGTAGATTAACAAAAGAATAAGGATGCGGGGGGTCCGCTTAGGGAGACAACTAACCTTTAAAGTTGTAGAATAAATCTTCTTATTTAGTCTTGAACTTTAAAAAGAAAACGCAGGCAGACCAATAGCATTAAGCAGATTAACAAGGAGAGGAATAGTTTAGGAAATAAGTAAAAGTAGAGGTATGTGACAATTAATAGCTTTTAAACTTTTGGAGGTATTGTATTCCCCTGAGTTGTTGTACTCGATTACTATATTATTCTCTCAATACGCAAAATCTCTTTTATATGCGGTTGAAGCATTTGAGTTAACTTATTTTTTAGTGTTCAAGTACTTACATTTTTAAACAGCAGTCAATGTTAATCTATGAACTAAACCGTACGTAAAATCGATCTTTCCTTATGTGGTATTGATGCATGTTTAACTTTTCGCAGCTGTCGGAATCAACGCGCCTACGTCTACGGAGCTTACGCAGAAGTGATTCGCAATGCGGTAGAGCTTTTGTAGTATAGAATTTTTTCGGTACGGTCGCGAAATCTTGAAATGATTGCGGTAAAATAACTAAATTGAAACAAAGCTCAACAGTAAAATAAGTAGAATATTTAGGGAGGAAACCAAAATTAATCAACTTGCCAACATAGGCTATCACATTTATTTTGGTGGCACTCTTTAAGTGATAATAAGCTATTTTTTTTTCTACGGTTGTTTCGCGTGGCGTTCACAATTTGCGCGATTTTCGTATCTTACGTAATTTAGATATTTAGCTCTAAACGGTTTTACTGACTCGAGGTCGTTCCTTAAGCGGTGTTGGTACAGGTTAAACCTTTGCCGACTGTCGGATTCAACGCGCCTTCGTCTACGGAGCTTACGCAGAAGTGATACGCAATTCGGTAGAGCTTGTCAAACGCTTTTGAGCTTATGTAGTATAGAATTTGTTCGGTGCGGTCGCGAAATTTTGAAATGATTGATACATGCGGTAAAATGACTTAATTGAAAAACAGCTCAATAGTAAAATAAGTAGATCTAGGGAGGAAATCAAAATTAATCAACTTGCCAACATAGGCTATCACATTTATTTTGGTGGCACTCTTTAAATGATAATAAGCCTTTCACTCGCTTCGGTTGTCTCGCACGGCTTTCGGAATTCGCGCGGTTTTCGTAACTTACATAATTTAGCTATTTCGTTCGAAACGGATTTACTTATTCAATCGGTTTACTACGCGGATGTATCTACGCGCACACGTCACAGCATTTTTTCTATAACTATCTTGAAACAATACATAATAATTCCAGTTTAGACATGAAAAAGTTTATGTTCGAAAAACTTTTTTTCCTTAAAAGTATCCATCTCGCGATTGGTAGTAAACATAATTACCAATTTTGAGACAAAATTTCATTCAAATCAAACATGGTCAGTTTTTTAAATCGGCATTAAATTTTTAAATCAATTTTTTTCAGTGTAGGTCTTGAACAAGTGATAGTTTTTGGAAAAAGTAACTATTTGCACATGGTGGCTTATTTAGTGAATGTTTATAAATCCAGAAAGTTTAATTGAAATCTGAGAGAGAGCTGCCAGCACCGATACGATTTGGCTCGAAATGCGTCATTAGTATCAAATTGCACTAGTGGTGAGTGATTTTTTTCGAATGAGATACAATAGGTCTTGTCATTCAGAACATCTTTACTCAAGACTGCAAACTTCTATCTACTCGTGCTGAAAACGGGTTGAAAATTTCTCAGTAACATTGAATGCTGAGTAAGAGCTTATCCAGTAAAAAATTTGCTTCTTCAGCTAAAAAATTGCTTATTGAGCTTTTAATCAACTCAAATTGTTTGTTGGGAATCCCTCCGAAAGCTTTGAGCCAGAGGTACTCGTGCTCTCATGGACACTAACAAAGTTTGTTTCCATTTTTATTTTCCCAAAAATCATCAAAACTGTGCTGGATTAATGCTTTCTTCCCTGAGTTTACTCTCAACAGTGTTTGAACCCATCCTTCTTCTTCTTTTTGGATTTTTTATATCCCCACTAGACTTTACGCTACCTCTCAACTTAGTATTCTTTGAGCACTTTCACAATTGTTTACTGAGAGCTTCCTAAAGCCTGCGCCAAATTTTTTAATTAGTGTTATTGTTTTCCATCCCGAAAAAATGTTACACCAGACCGGAAATAGAACCCAGCCGTCTCTAGCATAGTCTTGCTTTATAGCTGCGCCTTTACCGACTAAGGTAAGGGAGGACCATTATTTCAAAGACTATTTTTAAGCATTCGTTCCTAGCAAGTATATTGATTCTCTATGCCCAACAATCCATTAACCCCTATAAATAGCTCCGTCTCGTCCTTTGTGAACGAAATAATATCTCTTAACCACCTTGTTTACGCCAGTAAGGTTTCGTTACATCAATAGCATGTTCCCAATATTACTCCATTATTCAGAACTGTCATAAAAATCAACTGCTATTCAGGGAGAGGAAAATACTCACCATCAAAACTTCGGTTCCACATCTTCCGAGTGATTGCCGTCCCGTCTCGAATGTCACCGCCTTCGTTGAGCGTTTCGTTCAGTGCCATACCCAGCAGGTAAACACCATCGAAAAATGCTCCAATGAAAAAGTTTACCTCCTCGTCCTCCACAAAGGTGTAATTGTAATCACGTTTGGCACGAAGTCTCACCTGGTCGGCAAAGTACTGGTACGAGGGGCTGGTCGGTTGCAGCAGCGACACTCTCAGCAGGGCTTCGTACGCTTTCCGTGCAGTGGTATCGTCCTCGTCGCCCAGTTCCCAGTAGTGATCGCCCCAGTAGGAGCTTTGGAAGATTTCCACGTCCAAAAATGTGAACTCGCCCCTCGTCATACCGAGCCGGTGTGCCGATAGCATAAACTTGCGAACCAAACTGCCCCGCACGGATAAGATAATCACTGCCAGAAAGGGAATAAAAATAACGAAAAACAACAACAAACGTTGAACAAGGACCGGAATGAAGCAGACTTTTGCCAAATGAATTAGGGATTTTTCTCTGGTGCCACACAACAAGCCAATCAATTAACCAAGACGAGACAATTAATTATCGTCAATGTGGTGTGGTGCGGCCAACATGTGCTTTTGTCAATTACAGGAAATTGACTGAGATTGATGCAGTGATTTTAGCTGTACATAGCGACAGAATTAATGCATAATGCGTTTGAGTGGACTGTTAATGATGTTATAATATATAAATCAAATTATCTATTTGAATGTTCAGTCATAAATTCTAATATGCAAGGCAGCTGAAAGGCAGATTGATACAGGTATACCCTAAGGGGAAAACTAAATTTCGGTTACAAGCTTATTTTTTTAATTAATCCTCAAAATTAATTAGTATACCGGTCATGGCCACAGCCACAATAAATATTGCTAAAGTTTCGTTCATATCGTAGATAAGTGTCAGGTTGTTGCAGACTGCTACAGTTTCCAGCAGATTGCAGCGCACCTAGCAACGGAACACTCACCTCTGGCGTACATGCTCGCATCACGTAAGTAGTTATCCAGGTCCTCTTCGTCGTTGCCATCCAGATCCCGCACACAGGTCAGCAGGTCCTCTTCCTTGAGTCCGTACTCGAGATTCTTGCCCACCGTCAGTGAAAACAAATCCGATCGATCCAATATCAGAGCAATGTGCCTCCAGCCGAACTGGCGAAAGATGCTGGAAAATACCAGCTTCAGCCGACACTGGCAGTAGGACATCCGAGTCAGCGTTTGATATTTAGACTTGTCCTTGAAAATCCCCTGCGGAAGGAAACGGAAGAGCACAAGTCGAAGAAGGAAAGTTATTTCTCCCCAGACAAGTTGGGCATGCGTCACGTTCTAGATGAATTTTACGTACTCCGGGCATGAGAGGTGAGCTTTAGTTTGCAAATGTTTCATTCAGTCAGACCTACCGTGCTTTCGTTTTTCCATTTATTACTCAGTCGTCCCAGGATTCCGGATGTAACCGAGAGCTCACCTTCCGTCGGGGGCTGAATGCGGTGTTGAATGTTTGTTGAAATAACACGCGGCACATGGGAATTGTAAATGTTTTCGGTTAGTGGTTTTGGCGTGAAATAAGATTTGAAATTGTGTATATAATGATGACCCGGAATTTTATTTTGATTTAAATTTAGAAAGGCATTGGGGATCATACATAGTCAGGGTTCAGCATATATTTGATCAGTTTTTTTTATAACATATAAGCAGTTCTCATTGATGGATGATGCTCCGGGACAGCAGTACAGGAATCTTCTGAATACCGCAGTGTGTGATGCAGTCCACCCACCACTATTTCTTGGTTTCTCCAACCAAATGAGCTGATTTTAGTAAGTAAGTAAGTAAGTAAGTAAGTAAGTAAGTAAGAGTCCAAATAACAAACCGTCCCATCTCCAGCAGTTGCAAGGACGTGGTCAGGACAGTTCTCGATTGTTGTAGATAGTGCTACTTCCATCTAAGAGGTCGAGATCAATCCCAAATCTCGGTCAATACGGTTACGGACGGAGGTGGCAACACTCTCAAAACAATGGTCTAGTACTTGGATCCCTTACGAATTAGTGAAACTTGCTTAATGCGAATGCAAAATGCGCGATTATAAAGATCAACCATATAGGGTTAATGTCCCTCATATCTGCATAAATGATCCTAATATTGAGCCCATACATACATTTTGTAGCGAAGCATTTTTTGAAAATGTTTGACTAGTAGCCAAAAATATCCATTTGTATTGTCCAGCTGGTTCAAATAAAAATTTAAGAACAAGCGATTTTTATCGATGGGCCCAATCTTAAGATCTATAGGCCAACATTAGAGCCATTTCCTCTACTAGTCACCCACAGAAAAGCAGCTCAATTGGTTGGAGGACTGCCGACTAGTGCCGACAAATAACGGTGGGTGGACGCTCGCTATTCGGGGGATTCCTATATTTATATTTTTTATTTCTTTATTAAGGAGACTTTCAGCCCTGGGCTGGTTCGTCTCAGACAGGATTCCTATAATTTTTTTCCTTGATTTGTTTTCCGTCGATCTTGTTTTCCGTGCTGAGCACCAATGCTACCGACGCCAGGGAGGCAGCTCCCACACCTGGACCCTACCTATCAACCCATCATCAACTCATGAACCGGGGACCAACGGCTTTACTTACCCCGAATTACCCATTACCCGAATACCCCATTCCTGCCATAAAACTATTACCCCGAACGGCCCGTTACCCAGAATGACATTACACCAAATGTATTATTACCCCGTATTTCAAAAACATACTCCCAGATGGAGTTTTTTCCTTCTTTATGAATATCTTTATTTAATTTGAATTGTATCTGCTTATTTTCAGTAATGTCTTGTTACTTTCCTTTCAAAATGGCATAGAGTTGAGATGGGTTGTAAGACAATTGCTGAAAGTACAAAAAGTCGGAAAGACATTAAAATGTCGATACAATATTTGATGTACTGAGTGAAGCAATCACATTTAACTTAAATGCAATTTGAGAAATCAAGCTTCAATGCTAAAAGAGAATGTTTCTCTCTTTTAGATCAGGGTTGTTAATCAATAATCGTCGATTACTTCAGCGTTAACGTCTGTATTGGTCAACGGTATAGACGGTTATTGATTAACAACCCTGTTGGAGATGAAACCTTCTTTGATACATGAACAGTTCATTGCTGCATGCTATTGAGCAATTTTACTTTAATACTCGTACGCCATTTCTTTCACCACAATAGATCAAAGTAATGGTCACGGTGGTATTTTGTCCTCAACACAGAAAAAAAGCTTTTTTCTCTCTTGATTTTGCGAAGTAATATATTCACTTCCTCAACTTTGATGCTGGACACTTTACAATGGTTGTCAGTGGAGCAAGGAATAATATATTTGACTCAAGTGTTCATTTTTAATGTAGTTAACGGTTTGCTGTCTCGATATTTGTATGATCGAATTCAAAGAGGAAGTGATTTTTATAGATATAATACTAGAAACGATGAATGAGATGATGAAATAAGAACTAACTAACAAAAACTATTTTATTCGCCACGATGGTAAATTCGTGATTCAATAAGTCTAAAGTCCATTAATGGTTGCTTTACAGTACTTTTATTGAAACTTCAAAGCTACAGCATTAGATGGTAACATTTCTCCAGTTCGAACGAAACTTCCAACCTTCCTCTTGATGAAGCCCATCAGCGCCCGCACAGTGAAAACGAACACGGAATCAGCGAATTTCTTCCATTTTGCCCGCATTTGCTGGATGTCCTTGACTGCCCCGCCACTTCTTCGAAGTCGCTGCTTTAAAATTGACCAGTATTTTGGGGACAAAATCGATCTTGTTGCATACCACTCTAGAACCATATTGGAGTAGTGGCAGCTGGCCAAATCGGGCCAAAAGATGACTTTGCCCCTATGCTTGCGGATGAACGGCAATACACGATTTTTCAGGCATTCTTCGAAGTATACTTGGGATGTCATCGTCAAGGATGTGACGAATGGTGCCGACCACAACTGCAAATCGTTTGCCAAATCATGGCTTTCTTCGCGAACTTGTCGGTAAACACGAACTTGAATCTTCCCGGCACATCCATATGTCCAGTCGTGATGTAAAACTTTTGACCGGGAAGCTGCTTAAAATCGAGTTTGACGTATGTATCGTCATCGATCAAAGTGCAGCCCTTGTGTTTCGTCAAAACACAATCGTACAAGAGCCTGGGCCACGGAATTCTGCTTCATGTGCCGGTTCGGATTTTCACTGACTTTGTACGACTTGTATCCTTCCCTGGTAAGGATGTTCCGCACCGTTTGAAAGTTGGCGTTGTATCTTCTGGCCACATCTCGGATCGAAAGTGTTGTGCAGCTGACAATCCCTGGTTCCAGTTTTTTCGTAGGTTCGCTTCTTCCTTCCCACACTCAGGGTTTCTTTGTTCAAAACCTACAACTCGACAAACTGTTGTTTTCGGCATCTTCAGCACTTTAGTCAGTTTGGAACGGGACCACTCCGGTGTTTGTGCACAATATTTTGTCTTCTTTCGAGTTCCATTTGACGTTATTTCTGAACGTGATCGACTACTTTGTCAAACTTGCACCAGTTGTTCTCAATAGAATTATGAACACTGGCACTTATGACTTATGTCATACTGCTGATGATAGAAAAAAGTGTTGACAAGAGCCAGATCAAGCATAAAATACTCGGCATCTCAGAACACACCCATCAACTAAACCTTACAAGCATTCAAGTTGCCCAATTTTGGCATAACCTAAAAAAACGAGCGCAATCGGATACCAGAGGAGTTTCTAAAGCCATTCAGAAAACACTATCGGAATATTCCTCGAAGGTTCAGAGCCAGGTGTCCGAATCGACCCGCCGGAAAGTTGTTAAACGAGTTAGCTCTAAAGCTAAACCAGCATTGGACCCTATTTGCCTAGATGAATTTGTTATAACCGATGAATTCCAGAATGATGATATTGGGGACCGTCTATTGGCGTTGACGGTGACTCTGTACTCCTATGGTAAAATCCATATGCAAACGTCAGGCGGTGCATGAAACACAGCGGACTTCGTACTTTTCTTTCACTCCATCGAAAATTTCCATAAGAAACTGTCAATCTTTGCTAGAAGAGATGACTTTTCGACGAGATGAATGAGCCTTAATTTTTGAGACTCATGAAAACTTACTTTACTTGGACAGACAAAGTATTGGGTTGCAGATGGTACGTTTGCCACAGTTCCTTGTTTGTTTCGGCAACTCGTCACTGTTCATGGAAGTATCACTCCCTCACATCAGCAGACGGTTCCTCGAGATATTCGCGATCAATTATAAAATTCCGTTAAAAATAGGTGCAGAATTTTTCACCCCATGTTATACTTGCTTTTTAAAGCGGTCAGTACAAAGCTCCACCTTGAAAACCTTATTCATTTATTAAGCGCTTTGAGTGTGTTGGTTTATTTCCTTTAAAATCCGTTATAATTGCTTATCTTTTGACAGATACGCGTATTTCGTCTACTACTTGCAGACTTCATAAGTGCCAAGTACTCAACACCACTGAAGAATCCATCTTTTATCTACGAGTTAAATACTTATCAATAGGTACTAAAAGTCAGCAGGTATCCACTGCCATGTCACAATTTACCTAACCAGGTACCTAAATTTAGTCTCCAACAGAGGCATGCTACAATGTGTGATTTAAGTTAGCATGCTAAAGAGTCTCGAGTATCCGTTTCCTTGATCTCTATTAAGCAATGTTGATGGATTAAGTTTAAATGTTTCTAAACTTTCGGCTACGCCTAGTTTCCAAGAAGATACACTCTACAAGATATTAATGTTATTCTATGTCAAATTTTGTCCCTTTGAAAGATATGTTATGTAACCTTGGATTTAAATTCATAATGAAGTCCATCTCTTTGTTAGCCTTTTTTACTTCTGCGATGTGTTCCTTAAACCTTGTTTCCAAAGTCCTCTTCGTCTCACCAATGTAGATTTTATTGCAATCTGGACATGAGATTTTGCAGACTGCGGCTTTCCCTAAGACTTTTGTTGATCCTAACCGTGACTTCAGCTGATTTGTCCTGCTGCTGAATACTAAATCTAGGCCAAATTTTCTAAACTTCGAAACCAATGGTTTGGAAATGTTTTTTGTCGAAATTCACCGCTACCGGTTTTAAACCCTCAGTTACTGGTGTAAGAGTTGTCGAAATACGCCTGAAATGATCCCTTGTTCTTTTATCCATTACTGCTTGAATTGTTTTTTTCTTGATACCCATTAAGTCTAGCGATTTCAAAAATGTGAGCTATTTCCTTTGATTTGCCTGTATCACTAAGAGGAAGAGTTTGCATCCTGTGAACCATGTGGTGAAAAGCGGCCATTTTGTGTTGATGGGAATGGTTTGAAGTGCTTGGTATTACTCTCTTTGTGTTTGTTGGTTTCCTATAGATTTCGAAATTGAACGAAGACGTTTCCCTGATGATGAGAAGATCTAAGAAGGGGAGTTTACCGTCTCTCTCTTCTTCGTGAGTAAATTTGATGTCCTTGTGAACGTTGCTTATGGCCTCCTTATTCATTTATTTTTTGTTGAAAAATTTGGTTGCTTATTTTAAGATTGGGTTGGTAAAACACAAACATAATACAAAGTTTATGCAACAATGTTTGTTCAATTTTCAATGGAAATAGATTGTATGTATTGAAATTTAATCAAAACATCAAAGGATGAATTACTGGGCCTTAAATATTGTATACTCTGCATACTTTAAGAAATAAGATAGTTATTTTAGAAATTCGGGATAATAATACATTCAGGGTACCGGTTCATTTGGGGTAGTATCATAGAGTCGTATTTTATTGTATTATCACGGGATTTTTTATGAACATCAGAGCACGATGAGCATTTTAACTAATTTTGAAAAAAAAGCTGAATCATCCCTATCAAATTTGTAGCAAGGTTGGACCGGTAATCCGATCAAATGTCAAATACAACAAACGCCAGGATAATGCATTATCGAGATGTCCCAAGTCTCCACCCTCATTGTACCACGTTACTCAACACCATTGTGAGCTGAAAGGAAACCGATTTAGCCCGAAGTCAATCACACTTCACTGCGAGAAAGGACTTTTTAGTCCTCGCAGTCTGTAAATAACACTGACCGTGCTTAACGGACTGAAAAACGTCTCTGTTATCGGTTCATCTATCTTGCTCTTTCCGTGATTGAATCAAGCTTGATTGAGTCCACAAAGTCTGATCCAACAGATGGAATCATTTATTTAAACTTTAGGGTAAGAAAAGAAAATGCTACTGCAGTCGATTTGAGTTGTCCTTCGTCGCTCTTGAAATGCGCACTGATAGTGATGGCATACTGCAGAAATGATAGACCAATAACACGCTCCAGTAATGCGCACGTCGCGTGCTAAACGGTGCGAAATGACAATACCAGCAGAGGCACATTAAAATAACGACAACGATTGCTTTAGCACGCGGCAGAATCACAGCATCCGCCTCTCGCTCTCAACTCAGTGCCATCATCATTGGATGGAATTACGCGCTGAAAGTGCGCTGATCCGTGCTGTTGGTACATTAAATAAATTTGTTTTTATATTGCTCCCATCAGGTTTTGTGTCGTATGAGACTGGCGGATCCTGCCGTTCCTAGCAGGGATAGAGACGCTTTTTATAATGTGCCTTCTTTCGGCCTTCCCATGTATAGAAGCGACTGTTGAATGCCACATTTGCCGTGAGCAAATGTAATCAAGTGTGGTCACCGGTCCTTACCTGATCACCCATTCCGGTGATGATGGGTGTATTCCAGTAGTCGGCCAGTCGTGCCACCGGTTCCAACGCAAAGGCACAGGCAGGTCCGATGAAGGCCACCACGTTGTTCTTGAAGTGCATATCAGCTGCAAGGCCCGGCGATTTGGCTCCCGAGCAGGAAGCGTAACTGTGGAATGGAGAGTCGATTGAATAAAGCAATTATCACACTGGCAGAAATAGGCGGGGCACATTGCATTCGGGGCGTAATCAGGGGCGTAATATGTAAAATTACATGATATTCATTATTATTATTATTATCTCTATTTAGGAGATTTTCAGCCGCAGGCTGGTTAATCTCCGGGCTACATGATATTCAGTAAAAGCTGATCTACTATTACGGGAGGAAACAAAAGTGGGATTATATCAACAGAAGTATTCTCCATTTGGAGACAAACGTTGAGGTGGCTCAAATGAGGTCAATCCTGTAGTTTCAAACGGTTCACCCTAGAATGGTTGTTTGGGGGGTCAAAAAAATCCCCTCAAGATTTGAAGCCATTCGTCCACGGGAGGGTTCCCACAAAGGGCTTGAAGTTTGTATAAGAAAAATCGTAAAACATGTATAAAGGAATGAGACACTTTTACATTTTTGCCTTCAAGTGGTTTTCTACTTGTGAAAAATGAAGAACCTTTGGTGTTTGGAGAACAACTTTGTTCAAGACCGGAAGCAAATCCAAGATAACCCTAAAAAGCTATTAATGTTTGAACTCAACAACACCCGCCTTACTTATGGCGTTTTCTTGGGGCCTCTTCCTGTTGGATGACTCGTTTTCTGACCAATTGACTGATCAAATTGTTGGAAGGAGATTCTTAACTGTCCCAAAGAGATGAATATGCGAATTGCCTATCTATCCATCCATCGTTTTTGGCCCTTCATACAGCGATTCGTTGATGTCAATCAGAGGTTATTAAGCTTGATCAAGTTCAATAATGAGGAGAGCCCACAGCTATCGGAGTAGTTTCCGTGCTACCACTCAGTGTAGACCACTATCATCAACATCATCAACAACAACACCCGCCTTACTTATGGCGAGGGCCTAACGCGATATGCACGGTTTCCTTTTCGACCAGGCATAGGAAACCAGAATAAGATTCGCCCAGCGGTTCCAGTTTTATTCCGAGTTTGGAGACGGCATTCGGTGGGGGCAGAGGTACCAGTCGTCTAGAACAATTTGCTGCTGCAAAACCACAACAACAGGCTTCTATGAATAGTGCTGATTATTAATTTAACAACAGCCACCTACATACAACCTGGTTTTAAATTCTGAGTGTCCATGAGATGGCCTACCGGATGATCCGGTGTAACGGGAGATAGGAGGGTGGCAAAAGAAAGGAACAAAAAAGCCTCCTCTTTTGCGCCAGACAAGTCGAAACCTGCCGCGAAGGAGCGTGCTAAATCTCAAAATCCCGTACCCGGACGAGACCTCTGGGCTAGTCCTTGTCTTTGACCTCCAACCCAAAACCAAACTTCTGAACACCGCGGTACTAAGCAACATCTTATAAAAACAAAATCGGAACAACTTCAGAGTGGATTGGTGTTCTTTGCGAGTTTGCCAATCCAGAGCCTATACTACTGCGACCCGAACCGAATGTACCCTGTAAAACTACCTCTTTGAAGACCACGCTTTCAGCTTTCTAGAAAAGAATCTACAATCTGGTCATGCTACTTCCATTTTATTCTGTTTTTATTTTTTTTTTATGTTGTTATTAACGAAACCCAACTTCCTCTCCTAGCTTTTCTATCTATTCATTGCTGTAGCTTATCGACTAGGGTTAGTAAGTTTTAACAAGTTTCCATTTGCTCAGAATTACTTGCCAATTCTCTTCGCGTGCGCGCATCTCGATACTCCCACGTGGTCCCACGACGCATAACGACAAGTGCACTTGCTGGGTAGTTCAGCTCCTCGCCACTCACCCGCCCTCCGGCGGTAGCGTACATACGTGACGGGTCATGTCCTCGACAACCGTGCGACGTAACGGTAAGGATGTTGGTGAACTTGCTGTCGAGAACACCGGGGACGAATGGTGGTGAGTTTACGCTGACAGGGGAAAAAGCTTCCAAACGTTTGCTGTCACGTCAGCTAATTAGGTTTCGCACCGTCGGGGTTAACCTCAATCTGATGACAGCTTAGTGGTACTGTTTACGTGGACTTAGTTGATTTTTTCTTGGGTAGATTTTCTCGATAATTTTTTAGACTGCAGTGAGATGTAAACCACATGTCTGCATTGTCCACGACCATCATCATTTCACCGCGCTGTTCCTCGACAATGTGCAAGTTAAAATTCGGAAATTTTAGAATTTTTTTTTTTCGAAAATACGACTAAGTGCTTGTAAACAGTACCACTGAACTGTCAAAAAGGTTCAGCCGATTAACACTGAGTTAATTCGTGACGTCACGCTGCAGAACATAATTAGGTACTGCAGCGTGACGTCACGAATGAACTCAGTGTTAATCGGCTGAACCTTTTTGACAGTTCAGTGGTACTGTTTACAAGCACTTAGTCGTTTTTTCGAAAAAACAAATTCTAAAATTTCTGAATTTTAACTTGCACATTGTCGAGGAACAGCGCGGTGAAAGGATGTTGCTCGTGGACAATGCAGAAGTGTGGTTTACATCTCACTGCAGTCTGAAAAATTATCGAGAAAATCTACCCAAGAAAAAAACGACTAAGTCCACGTAAACAGTACCACTGAACTGTCATCAGATTGAGGTTAACCCCGACGGTGCAAAACCTAATACCGTTCCACGTGTCAGTCACGAATTTCACCACGCCGTATGCCTTATCGGCCCAAAAGAACTGACGAACAGTGAAGGTTTCCACGGGGTGTCACTGTGCACGGTTCCGTTAGACTGGTCCTGGGGGTTGCACCTTCGTTTGAAGGGAAATCTGTCGCTACAAATTCGTAGGTTTAACGTGCTGGTGGTCCCATGCGTTTTGGATTTCGTGCAAGTGGTTCCACGTTCAATCGGGCAGGCACGCTGCATCCTATGGGACAGTCAATCCTTTGACAGCAGCTTCTACGACCACTTATTTCCGTAAATATCTTCTCTAGCTTTCACTAAAGTTCGTTGCAAGCTTTACGAACTTACGCACTTACATTTTTTAAATTTTACGCGTGTTATAATTCTCCGCACAATGTTATAGTTTACGTCTACTTTCAGATGAGCACTATCGAACTTGTCTCTATCGTGGTCAAACTCTAAGAGGCAACCTTACAAAAGATTGGGATCTATTCACCTCTATTCTTGTTTACGGCCGTATCCGACATTCGTACGAGCGAACCGATTCGAACGAATTCGAAAAGGGTATTCTTGTTTTCGTTCGAATGTATTCGAATGCGATTCGTATGCGAAAAAGTGTTGCCACATCAACACAAGTGTTCGAAGCAATTCGGAACAGCCAAAACTGTCAAAACAACTAATAATAAACAGCGTTCGATGTGTACAAGATGAATTGTTGTTGAAAAAGTTGAGAAAACAAATTAGATTATCAGGTAAATATGCGTTTAAATCGAAGGGTTCGATGATTTTTAACATCATTTTCTTGTTTTTAGCAATGGATACTGTAATGTTGGCTGTCTTTGCAGAGCAGGAAGAGCTGCGCTCTTTGAGAAGGCATCGGTCTAATTTGCGTAATACTACCGATATTATGGAGCTACCGGATGCAGAGTAAGTAATAAAATAACACTTGTGTACTTATATAACTGCTTACATCTTCTCACTGTGCTACAACAGATTACAACATAGCCACTTACACAACAACAACTGTGTCCTAATGCTTGTAATTTTGTTTTAGATTCATCAAAAACTTCCGGTTGAACAAGGAAGCATTTCTGTACATCCTTGGCGAAATTACTGACGAATTTCCCCCTCAAAGGCAAGGAGCCCTTTCCGTGAAGGAGAAACTCGCAGCTTGTCTTCGTTTCTTTGCCGAAGGCAGCTATCAGCATGGAACCGGAAAAGACTTTGATGTCGCAGTAGCTCAGCCAACTTTTTCAAAGATCCTTTCAGAAATTCTTACTGTTTTCGAGAGGAAAATGTGTCCTCAGTGGATAAACATACGCATGTCAAATGAAGAAATGCGTCGAGCAAAACGATTTTTCTATGAGAAATCTGGTATCCCTGGCGTGATCATGTGTGTTGATGGAACACATATAAAAATTATTCCTCCGAATGTAAACCGCAACCTTTTTTACAACCGGAAAGGATTTTATAGCTTGAATGTTATGATCGTAAGTAACCTTTGTAATATTTATGTTCCTGTATGCTTACAATATGTATTTTTATAGATGTGTGACGACACACAACGAATTCGTTTCGTAGATGCCGGATATCAAGGATCCAATCATGATTCGCATGTGTGGGGGTTAAGCTCGGCTCGAAGATACATGCAGCAGCTGCATAGAAATGGCGACACAAACATTAAAATCTTAGGTAATGCTTGGTCGTTAAAATAAATGGGATACTTAGGGATCGGATTATGTTCTAAATCTTATTTTAGGCGATGCAGGTTACCCATCTGAGCCATGGTTGATAACTCCACACCGAGCACCGGAGGATGGAAGTCCTGAAAGCAACTTCAATAGGTTGCATAGTGTAGGGAGGGGCATAATTGAACGGACCATCGGAGTACTGAAAAATCGTTTCCGATGCATACTAGGTGCCCGGCAATTGCACTATTCGCCATCGAAATCATCGAAGATTATAAATGTGTGTTGTGCATTGCACAATCTTTGTTTGACATATTTGAATGATGATTTGCAATAAAGTTTTCTTCTTTTGAAATTTTGCTCTAATCGAAATACTTCTAAAATTGTGACAGATTTTAAAACAACAGAAATATACCAAATTAGATTCATAGAATCTTTAGCTACGATCTATTTTTGAACCAACATCATCAAAGAAGTTTATAGAAAGATCTTAAATTAATTATAAGAACTTCACAGAAGTTTATAGAAGTTTTTGGAATTTCAGAGAAGTTCAAAGATCATCAGAATTTGAAAATCATTTCCCAAAATTTCAGAGCAGTTCTCAAAACTTAGTTTATTTTTAATTCTCAGAACTTTACAGAAGTTAAAATTTTTTTGTGAAGTTTCACAGCATTTCTGAGAAGTTTAGAGAAGAGAATTGTATAGATTTTCAAATAATATATTACTTTACAAAGGTTCAGGTAAAATCCGAATATTTTATGATTATTTAGATGGGTGATATCTTCAGAAAAGTTTGTCAGGTGGTCAAGCCTCGGGTCAAGCACTATTGATTGATGGAAATAACAATTCGGAATTCTCCTGCCAGGCGGCGCTAGTGAGCAATCAAAGTCAGTATGCTTTGTACAGCTGTATCTGATAATTTAGACGAATGATTTCTTTGGCAAACTTGAACAAGAGGTCAAGGACCATTTGATGGTAGACAGAACAATTCAGATTTCTTAGGCTAGGCGACGCTAGTGAGCATTCATTCAAAGTCAATATGTTTTGTGCTGCTGTATCTCAAGATCGTGATGATATAGGCGAATTATTTCTTCAGCAAAGTTGAACAGGAGGTCGGCGCTAGCACAGAGAACAGACGTCCAAGCTCCGTCAGAAACTTGTGTAAAGATAAGTGGGAACATCGCAGCTACGTGGCGCTAGCATCTCCTGATTTCGTCCATAAATTTTCCACTTTCGGCCAATTTGGCGCTACTGTCGATAAATTTTCTGTTGAAAATTGCCACTCGGCGCTACAAGCACTTAGTGTCTAGTGTAATTTGTGCAACGTCAGTGCCATCATGCTGTCAAAGAAGGGTTTTAAGTGGGGAAGTCGGCGTTGGTGGCGCTTAAGTCGAATAGGAATCTTTACACTAGTTTTTACATAAATTTTGTTCGAGCCTCAATGTCTGTTCTCTGTGGCGCTAGTGAGCATTCAAAGTCAGTATAGTTTTTACTGCTGTATCTCAAGATCCAGATTATTTAGACAGATGATGTCTTCAACAAAGTTTATCAAGTGGCCAAGGACACTTAAATGGTGGAAAGGGCGAATCAGAATTCTCCCGCTAGATGGCGCTAGTGAGCATTCATTCAAAGTCAGTATGTTTCGTGCTGCTATAACTCATGATTCTGATAATATAGACGAATGGTTTATTCAGTACAGTTGATCCCCCAAGGTATGTTGCATTTTTTTTTGATAGTATAGACGAGTGATGCCTGCGGCAAAGTTGATCAGATGGCCAAGGACAGTTGGATGATGGATAGTACATTTCGGAATCCTTCCACTAGGCGGTGCTAGTGAGCATTCAAAGTAAATATGTTTTGTACTAATGTTTATCGAGATTCTGATTAATTAGATGAGTTATGCCTTCCGCAAAGTTGATCAGGAGATCAGGGACTGATGTATGGTGGACAGAACAATTCATAATTCTCCCACTAGGCAGCGCTAGTGAGCATGTGAACCAAAAATGTTTTGTAGTGCTGTATCTAAACATCCTGATTATTTAGACGGATGATGTCTTTGGCAAACTTGATCTGGAGGTCAAGGCTGGTGGGATTTTTAACATAACATTTTGAAATTTTCCAGATAGAGGAAGAGCAGACAAATAAAATATTGTTAGAGTTGGGAGGAAATGCTATGCTGCTACGTGAGGCTATAGTGCGACAATTTATTAGGTAGACAAAGTAATGAAGAGGATGATTGATAGTTCCGTTAGAGTACGGCAGTGTGAAAATTGAACAGAAGTTGAAAATTGAGTGAAGGGCCATTAATGCGACAGTATTCATCAAACGCACACTTTTTACCTAACTCCACACTAGGAAGAGGAGCCTTGCGGTATTTCTGCAATTCCGAATTGTACTGTAAACCATTCAAGAGCCCTTGGCTACCTGATAAACTTTGCCAAAGATATCATTCATCTAAATACTCTGAATCTTGAGAAACAGCAGTACAAAACATGTAAGCTTTAAATGGTTACTAGCTCCACCTAGCGGAAGAATACCGAATTGTTCTGTCCACCATCTTACAGCCCTTGTCATTCTTCTTTATCATCAGGATCTTGACATAAAACTATTGGAATGCTCACTAGCGCCACCTAGCGAGAGAATTCCACCATCCAACAGTCCTTGTCCTCCTGATCAAATTTGCCAAAGAAACTATTCGTCTCAATAATCAGAATATTGAGATACAGTAGCACAAAACATATTGGCTTTCAATGCTCACTAGCACCACCTAGCGGGAGAATTCCGAACCGTCCGCCAATAAATAGTCCTTGAACTGCTGATAAACTTTTCCCAAGAAATCATTCGTCTAAATCAGCAGGATCTTGAGATATTGCAGTACAAAACTCATCGAATTAGAATTCCCACTAGCGCCACCTGGTGAGAGAATTCCGAATTTTTTATTCCACCATCCAGCAGTCCTTGAGTATCTGATCAACTTTGCTCAAGTCATCACCTGTCTAAGTGACCAGGATCTTAGGTGTTATTGAACTAGAATTATTTTTTGCGTCCCAAAATTTCAGAGAAGTTTCGAAAACATTAAGACGATACACTGTGGTTCATTTTTTAAGCAGACGATTTTCTTTAATAATAAAATAAACCGCAGGAATTTAAAATCCGAGCATAGAAAATTGCGAAAAATAAAACAGCGAAAAAAAAGACCCCAGTGTACTTCAATGACGAAGAACTTGGGGGGACGAGGGTTTGTCAACATGACATTCCATGTATTAAGTATGGGGTAATGCGCTACAAAGCGGGTCTTAAAATAATAAAAAAATGCTACGCCATTGAAGAATGCTCCTGTAAAGAACATGAGCATTCAAAAGCAGGAGTAGAGAGTTTCCCAGAAAATCAAAAAGTTTTCAGATTGAAATTCTAGTCAATTATTCCAAATACTTCAGAGCAGTTCACAAACTTCTCCAAAGTTACCAAAAATTAAAATAAGTTCCTAGAACTACATATAACCACAGACAAATAGACATAACACTCGCAAGTTGTTCATCGAACAAGCATTTATCGGTCAATTTGAAAGTATCTTAGTTGGTAGTACCGCCACCTGTGGTGCGCATAGTTAATTTCCTTGCGTTTGACGTTTTCACACTACCGCCATCTGTTCAGCGTACTACCCACCACAGTGTACTCAACAGATGGCGGTTATGTTTTAGCGACGATGTTTTTCAGTGAGAAATATTCAATGTGTTATGTCTGTATGTCCGTGATATAACTTTCGGCAATCCCAGAATTTCCGATATGTTTACCGAAATTTTGACACGTCTACAATAAAGAGGCTGAATTTATAAAGAGACGACATGTCAAAATTGGAACAATCGATTTTCTGTCAGTCATAGGAAAAGTTATTCCAATCGAGCAGAAGACCTGTCAAATGGATAAGATGTCGCCTCTTTACCAAATTCAGTCTCTTTAGTCTACAAATTTTAACTGTCAAACTTCCGACAAGCGAAACTTCAGAAAGAAAACGACAAGTTAACAGAACTTTTGAAAAATCAAAATAGCTTCCGACAGTCTTACAAAACTTTCGATAAATTCACAGATCTTTTGATAAAGCTGCTACAAACTAGATTACGGTTAAAAATCACGATAATACAGACCGAAAAATATTTCGATAAATTCATGAGTAAAACTTACTCCAAGCTTTAAGTGTATAACCTCCATAAATTTGATGAATCTTCCAACAGCTTATAGAACATCCAACAAATTTACAATAATTCCGACAAGTTCATAGATCCTTCGTTAGGTCCACCGAGTTTCCAAGACAAATCTACAGAACTTTCGACAAGTTCAATAACTATTGAAGGATCACTGAGCCGTAGAACTTCATACATCTTCAGTTCTATTTCACTAAAGTATTCCACAGTTTTCTTAAAACAGCGTATTGTTGAAGAGATTAATTTATATATAAAGCGGAAAATAGACCACCTCTCCCAGGGATTTCAGAACCTGTTCCGGGGCCACTATGTGATCCAAGAAATATTCTGATTCCCATATATTTCTAAAAACAACGATATGCAGCTCGATGATTTTCTTTTGAAGTGAAAATTGACCACCTCTCCCAGGGCTTACGGAATCTGTTCCGGGGCCATCACATGACCCTAGTAAGAAACGAAATGAATAAGGTCACGTATCTTGGCAGTCACTGACTGGAATTGGACACGAACTAAACGAAGATGTGGTCTTATTGAGCGCAATTGCAGGGTTTTGGGATCGTTCAAATTACTTTAATATTCGAGAACAAGACCAATGTTGGCAATATTGAGTGCTTTAGACCTGATTGGTGACTTCCAAGTATGGGGCTCTTCAATTATTACGTAAACATTTAAGGGGAGGAAGGTTTGAATTTAAAGCAGTTCGAAATAGTTATAAAATTAGCGGCAATTTGGTTAAGACTTGACGCAATCCAAAATTCCTGAAATGCTTTCTATCATTTTGTATTTCATTGATAGGAAATACATTTATATCATTCTGACATCTTACAAAAGATTAATTGATATTAAATTTGCATGTGCTGAAGTTTCAATGCAAGAATTTTTTTTTTGGTTTTCAATTTTTCTAGATGGATTTTTTCCATTTCCAGGTTGTGTCGCCGTTGTTCCTGAAGTTGTTGGGCTTGAGCTGCTTGGATTTCCGTCATCCGCTTAGAAATTTGCTTGTTGTAGTGAGCCATATCGTCGAGCTTTTTCGCTTGAATTTTCAAAACTCCCAACAAATCTTGGTGGAAATTTTGCTGCTGTTCAACTTGCGTTTCCAGCAATCTCAAACTCCGCTGACCAGGTTGTCTTCGGCGGATGGGCTCTTGTTGAAGTTCAACTTCTGATAATTCGTCGACGGGATCATGGCCCACAAATGAACCATTGGCTACGCCACTGTTATTTTCGTCCGCCGCAGCAGGAGCCCCAAACGCAATAGAATCCTCTATGCCATCTACGGCTGCAGTGAGCCCAGTCAGAGCGACAACCCTTTCTTCAAGCCAGGTCAATTCTACTATCTTGTTGGGGCCGCCCCCTGTAGCTTGCTGCTCTCTTCGATTGTGAGCCAACTTCCGCTTCAAGTTTGACTTCCAGTCAAACCAGACCTAAAATGTTAACATGAAAATTAAGATATGATTGATATTTTTTTTAATTATTTCCTTTACCTTCTTCCATGCAGCAGGATCTTTTTCAGGACCCCCAAGGCTGTTTAAATCTTCAGCTAGATTTTTCCAGAATGCTCCTGTATCAGATCTACTGAAGCCTCTGGCTATATCCGGATGGTCTTCCAGAAGATCCACCATAGTGGAATACTGATTTTTGATGGTGCTTTTGCTTTTCGGTCTTTTCGCCCTAAAAGAAAAACAAATCTATAGTTGATATCACAGTTATCAAGCATCACTTTGTAACTATGTAATCACACAATTCGTTGCAAAACGCAAAAAGGGTGTACTAACATGATATGCAACTACCGTAAAACGGGATATCTTTGATAATAATTTGTAAACATGTTAAAAACTTTTCTTGTTTTTTGCCTGATTGAAAAAGTTCACTCAAGCAATCACTTATGAAATGTATTTCCAATATAGCTATCACAAATCAATGTTATCTTCTTATTGCTTTTAATGTTTTCTGATTACATACTCGTTCAATGTTTTATATTTCTTGAACTAAATTGTTTGAGATTCCCGCATATTTTTCTATATTCATCGAGCATTATCAACGTAACCCCATATCAAAATACTGATATTCGGCCACAACACTAAAAAAAATAGAGCAAATGTAATAATTTTTGTTAAACACATTACTAACGAATGGACTCCAGGAACCTCAGTACTTGTTTAAAAAAGTAAAATTTGAAAAACATTCTTGCATATACTTTCAAAAACTATCAATGTTACCCCGTTTTACGGTACTTTAAATTGGCTTGTAATCCACGCATAGCTAAATGAACGAATTAATCCAAAAAGGCCCCACACTCTGACCCGACTCCGATACACTTTGCTATGGAAAAAAAAAACAGAATACGGAATTTCCAACTAATTAAACACAAATTTCATACTTACATCGTTCCGAAATTGAAAATCGCTGGGAAATTGCGACTTGCGTTGGTTCACAGAACTAAACAATGGATTCGTGCGCGATCCGCAAGTATCGAGTGACGAATGGAAAATCAACAAAACAAACTCATTCGAACGAAAATGGGAATCCCACAATTTGATCGAACGAACGATGTTCGAAACTTCGAATGGTTAGAAATGGTTCGAACGAAAACAGGAATACGAATGGGGGAAACTTTCGAACGTTTCTTATTCGACGAAAACAAGAATAGAGGTGATTATCCCCCTTATGCACGAACGTTTCCTGAAGTCGCTGTGCTAGTGAACGTGGCCTACATCCGTTCTGTCATAGTTCGAAAACCGCCAACTTAGACCCATCTGGTGTTTCATTCCGAATAGGATCAGAGATAGAGAACGTTTTTTGATAAATAGCGAAGGCTAGTTTTATTAACTGTTTAAATAAAAAAAAATATTAATTTTTTTTTTGGAATAGGATTGGAAGAGTGTCTATTTCAACAGCTTAAGGAATCTTGTTTTATTTTTTTATAGAAGTATGTAACCTCGTTACACCTCGTTATGCTTTGAATTTTATCTGAAACTACATGGAATGCAGTAAAATTGTGGTTTTTGATATATCAACTGGTCAACTGGGCTTTGAGTGGTTACCAGATGGCCCACCGAAAAATCCATCGAATTTGGATCAAAGCATGCCTTGATTTTAATCTGAAAGTTTAGAGCATTTCCAGGCCAAATAGCAAAGTAAAAAAATCAGACTCGACCTTCTCCGACTTTCATGAAACTTTGCATAATTACTTTAACTATTCATGTGTTTATTACTTCATGCGTGAAGTTAACGATTTTCATAGTTGGAGATGATTAACGTCAAATATCAGTCTTAAAGTGGACCTTTTATACGATGGATAAGGAGATGAAAGTATAGAATTACTAATTCCGTTATTGTTCGGTAGTGTTAAAATTGTGTATAGAAATTAGAAAGCTAGCAAAGTTTTTTTTTATTCCTTAATTCAAAATATTAGGGAGATTTTTAGCCACGGGCTAGTTCGAGTTGTTCGGAAAGTGTTTGGTAAAGCATCGCACGCGGCTGCAATTTCGACCGGGAAACGAACCCGATCAGACGCCGCCGATGCTCAGTTGGCATCGAAGAAGCTTCTGACGAACAACCGTTACGCCACATTGGAAAATGGCGATGAACCGAAGGTGGAAAGGAAAGAGAAACTTCTGCCGTTCTTCGTGATGGGATTCCCGGACGGCTCGCGGTATACTATAGACTTTTACATTGTTAAGGCCTCCAAATTACCATTCGCTTGTGCACGGAGGGCTAGAAGTTGATGATCGCGGCGATGAAACACTACAAGGCAGTTCAAGCCATGCAGGACAAACTGAAGGTGGAATATTTATCCCACGCCGCTCAAGGTGTTGCAGCGTGGCCTCCCGGACATGGATACCGACACACTGACGATGACTCGTCATGACGGCACTCATAAGTATCGTGATCAGCTGAATCTGGTCCACCTCGAGAAGGATTCAACGTGCATGAAGGATCTACTTAATGTTCGAGCCCTGCAGCACTGCAACAAATATGGCAAAAAACACAACCCCGTCGCTTGCGAGATGATGCAGAAAGCTGATCCCATTTGTGCTAACTGTGGGGCAGCACACCGGGCCATAAACAAGAGCTGCCCGAAACGAGCGGAATTCGTCTCAATCCGCAAAAAGACTTCCATAAGCAACCAACCAGGCCACAGAAGGGTACGGGAAAACAATAGGCAGAACTTCCTTGCTATTGGCAACGGCGTCAGATCCCGGTACTCCCACCACTCCCACTCAACAACCGAATGGCTGCTGCTGCTGCTGCATCAGTTTCGTTAACCGCTGGGGTGCCCAAACTCGTGTTGTCAAACGTATGCGGCATCCACTGCATCCCGCAGTACCTACCCCCTCCGGGACTATCAAGGCGTCACGATGATGCACCACCACCGAACGAAAACACAGAAGCTCTGTTCACTGCGGAGCAACTGATCCCCGTATTCACAAAGCTTGCCAAACGCTTGCGCAGTTGCAAAACCCGTTACGACCATATTTACACTCTAGGCCTTTTTGTCATCGAGTATGGCCTCTGAAGTGTTGAAGCTAGTCAACTGGAACGCTTGCTCGCTCAAGAGCAAGAACATCGAGTTCGTTGAGTTTCTCAATGAACGAAACATCGACATTGCCATCGTTGCGGCTTACTGCCCCAAACAACATCAACATCAGGGACGGGTCGACAGTAAACCTAAGAAGAGATATTATCAAGCAAACACGACTGCGGGATAACTTCATCATCGCTGGCGACCTGAACGCCAAACATCAAGTCTGGGGCTAAAGTCGGTGCAATCAAAATGGCACCATCCTGTACAATAACCTGCAGGAAGCGCAGTACAATATCTTGAGTCCGGACACTCCCACCCGGTTGTGTAGGTCCGGTGCTCACGCCACCATCGATATCTACATCAGTAACATGCGCAACAACATCTCGCAACCTGTCGTCTATCAGAAACTCAGCTCAGACCACTATCCGGTGGTGACTGAAGTGGGTTTCTCAGTCAACAAGTTCCAAGCATCCAATAGGCGGAACAACCAAACGTAAACAATGGCTTTAAACGCAAATTCTTCGAGAATCAAAACACATCCCAGCAATCTAACACCGTCATCTGATAGAGCAAACTTCCTTTATTGAATGGCAATGTTAGTTTGCGTGGGAGTGTTTTAATTCTCAAAAAATTTGGGTTTAAAGCCATTGATTACGTTTGGTTGTTCCGCCTATTTCAATTGTTGGTTTAGATATCATCTGTCTCAAAGAGCAACTCTACCACCCAACTACTCGCCCGGGTTACTAACATCATCAAGCGGAACAAGCAACAATCAATTCGAAACTACCGATTTTAAATTGGCTCACTACTTGACTAGCCTATTGGTCCCAAGCAAACGATTAGCGTATCCCATTCTAGTCGAAATTCTAGTACTACGCATTGTTTGTTTTGATTCGCTATGAAAGTTTGACAGATAAAATGAGGGGTTATTTGATTTTCCTATGTTTCGAGGGGTAAATCGATTTGCTTGGGACCGAAGAGAGTACCAGAGCTGAGCCAAAAAGTTGAGCACGTTATTTCGGGACCTTCTGGTCTTAGACAGAGTTACCTCTATGGAACAAGTCCGTTTCCATTACATCTGCTATGGCGTTGTTGAACGTTGAGAAGGCGTTCGACAATGTCTGGTATGCACTAGTGTACAAGCTGCATCGATACAACTTCTCGATCTTCCTTGTTAAGGTCATCAAAAACTACTTGTCAGGCAGATTATTCCAGGTCTTCTTGAACAATTAACCTTGATACTGGGGTTCCCCAGGGTAGACTCCTTGGTCGTATTCTCTTCAACATCTTCACGTCAGACGTTCCTCCCCTTCCGGGGGTGGTATTTTGTTAATGTTTGCGGATAACACTGCCATCATCTATAAGGGTCGAGTGATCCGTGCTCTGACGAGAAAACTCCAATCACAGACCATACTATAGTTTTCCCGCCCTCCAATTTACCTCGGCTTGTCCCGCCTGGTAACTTAAAAGTCCACCTTGATAATACTCCCATTGAATGGTCAAGTGAAGTCGTCTACCTTGGTTTCACCCTTGATAGCAAGTTTCTGCTCCGTTTCCATGTGGACAACACATCCACCAAGTGCAACATCTTGATTAGGTCGCTCTATCCACTTATCAACAGAAAGTCCACCCTGTCGCTTAAAAACAAGCTTGCAGTCCACAAGCAAATCATCCTCCCCACCATTGAGTACGGAACGTCAATCTGGGAGAGCCGTGCAAAGTACCATCACCTCAAACTCCAAAGTGCAGTACAGACGAGTGCAGTACGCTCATCATCGAAAGGTTGAGAGTCACCTGTTTGAAATAGCACGAGATCATACGCGATCTTACTAATTAGGTTAAATTATTCGTAGTTAGGTAAGTTATAAAATTATTATTTTTCCAATTCAATTAATCATTTTGCTCAACCATTTTCCACAGAGATGGCGCTGTTCCGCTGGTAGGAAGTGATAAAAATCCCCATATAGAAATTGAGAGAAATGCGAATAATTCGCTTCCGGTCCATATTCAGGTCAAAAAAAGTGAACGACAACCTAAAGAAATTAGTCAGGGGCTTTGTCGTTCAGTTTTTTCCAGGAAATTAATGCTCAACAAGCTACAATTAAATAAAAATGATTTTTCCCCATACAATTTTACCTGCTTTACTACCAGTCCCCAGAGAGCCCAAAAAATTCAAATTGGAGAGAGAAATTCTCTCTCACGAGCTTAATATCTCAACATGCCATGTATTTTGTTGACACTCGATTTGTGATTTCCCTTTCACAGATTACAAAATAGAGTACCTGACACTACAAAACATGTCTGGTACCTCTATATATGCATTTGCTTTAACATTTGAAGTCCCTCCTTTTTTACATATTCTGCGCAAAAGATACTTTATGCCCCGCCCCATACATAAAATTCGGCGGGAAATTCTGTGAGGGGTGAGATATTTTGTGTGCAGAATGTTTAAAAAAGGAGGGACTTCGAATAATAATCTAAATGCATATATAGAGGTACCAGACATGTTTTGCACTGCAGTTTCCTCTGTGAACAATTATAGGAAAACAGATTGTGTCTAGTTTCCGATAGATGTCAACGCAAACAACAGCTGTGAC